TTGAATTTGTCTACAACTATCTGTGGTTAGCAAACCTCCGTGCAAACTGGGAAGAGGTGAAAGAAATGCCATGATTGCCCCTCAGCCATGTCCCCAAGATCGATCTTTAACACTGAGTTCTGATAGGAGGAGCAGGGCAAGAATCTGGTCTGTCTGCCGTACACCACAGCTACAGCCACAATGCGGGCTGATGGGACCATTTGGCTCGAGCCTGAGGTGCTTTTCTCAGGTCCACGACAAGGTACCACAAACTTTCTGTTTATTTATTGTTATGACACCTTTTGTGTCATTGATACCTTTTGGTTTAAGATGCCGCTCAAATAAAGCTGGATGGAAAAACTTAAGGTGACGTTTTATGACTCGTTTCTATCATATGTTTTAAATCTCAAAGCATTCGAGTTTCCTCAGATCAACTACAAAATGAACAACGGAAAGAATTACACGTACGCCTATGCGCTGGGCCTCAACCACTTTATCCCTGACAGGGTATGAATAATCACGTCATCTGGTCAGGATTTTATAACAAGTGTTAAAGGGATAGTTCACCTTCAGTTGCTGGTCCCCAGTTTTTTTCCATATTATGGAAGTCAATGGGTGACCAGCAACTGAAGGTGAACTATCCCTTTAAAAAATGCGTTTTTTAGGCTGTTTTTGATGATTTGTAGATTTGCAAGCTGAATGTGAAGACTAAGGAGACCTGGGTCTGGCAGGAGCCGGACTCGTACCCTTCAGAACCGCTGTTTGTGCAGCACCCTGATGGAGTGGATGAGGATGATGGTGGGTGACACTAGCCATAAATTAGCCAAATATTTGGTGTCTAGCTTATTTTGATGTTCCCCAACACACATTCACCTGCGTATAAGTAACTCTGCAACTACATATCAACTAGCAGTATTTAGAGTATTAGTAGACTATCTACTTAATATCTGTCCTCAACACGCATTCAGCTGAACATGTCAACTTTGCAATGTCAACTAACCCTAACCTAACAGTCTACTGATACTCTAATGAGAGTTTGTTGACATGCAGTTGCAAAGGTACTTATAGTAGATTGTCTGATGTAACCTCTGTAATGCTTCACTGCTTAACAGGTGTCATAATGACGATTGTGGTGTCGCCTGGAGCCCAGAGACCTACATGTTGCCTGATCTTGAATGCTAAGGACCTGTCTGAGATTGCAAGAGCGGAAGTTGACATCATGTCTCCAGTCACCTTCCATGGAATGTATAAGCCATAGAGCGGCTGCTCCTACATGTACACACCATGACACTGTAAACTAATAATAATAAAACTATGGTATTGCACAGTTCCGATGTTCTTCATGCATTTGCAAAAACCAATTTAAATTCGGTCACACTTAATTTTACGGTCCAGTTCTCGCTATTAACAAACTATTGACTATGACATTTGCCTCAATAAACTCCTAATTTGCTGTTTATTAATAGTAAGGTAGTTGTTAAGTTCAGGTATTGTAGGATTAAGGGATCTAAAATATGGTCATGCAGAATAAGGCATTAATATGTGCTTTATAAGTACTAATAAACATAGCCAGTATGCTAGTAATATGCATGCAAATAAGCTACTAGTTAATAGTGAGAATTGGTCCTTAAACTAAAGTGTTACCCACTTATGTTGGTGCTGCATAAGTGGGTTAGAGTAGGATCTTAATTCATTTAGAAGAAAAAAAAAATCTAATTTATTTAAACTCATTAAATGTCCTGCTGAATGCATTTGTCTTTCCTGGGTTGATATCCAGCAAATAAATTCTCTCTTCAAAATGTCATTGAAGTAAACAGAAATGTTTCATGCATTCAAGAGTGCATTTCCATGCAACTTGCTGCTTCACCACCAAGGTATTAGTAGTTGTTAAGTTTAGGTATTGGGTAGGATTAGGGATGTAGAATATGGTCATGCAGAATATGTGCTTTATAAGTACTAATAAATAGCCGATATGTTAATAATAGGCATGCTAATAAGCAACTAGTTAATAGTGAGAATTTGTCCATAAAGTGTTACCTTAAAGTATTTTGCCACCATTATAGACTTGAAGGAATAGTTCACTCCAAAATGAAAATTTGATGTTAATTTAATCACTCTCAGGCCATCCAAGATGTGACTTTTTTTCTTCAGTAGAACAGTAAAGAAGATTTTTAGCTGAAACCGTGCTCCTAAACGGCAAGTTCATTCTTTAGAAGAGCTAATGAGGTTATACTGTTCCACTAAAGCTTAATAATTGTTCACAGTTTACGATGTTTGTAGTTTTGGCAAAATTAAATAACTTCAACCAATAAAATGCATTTAATAAATATGTACACTTTCATTAATTTGGAAAAATTTACATTTTACGAGCTACCTGTTTTATCTAGATATTTATAGTCAGCTAGCAACAGTCTGATAACATCTGTTACTGTAATGTTTTCTAGTGTTTGGCAAATCAGTTGTTCCTACTTGAGCAAGCTATAACTAGTAGTTAAATCAGAGATTGTTTGGCTAGCTTGCTATAGAGTTTATCACCCTGTCAAAATTATATGCTTCACATATAGGCTAACAGCTTACACCATAAAATAAATCAAGTTCAAGTTTGGTTTCTAAAGCATATTTAAAAATGGCCACAGGCCGAGCAAAATGCTGTACAATAAAATAATGAGTACACAATGAATGAACAACAAACAAATTAAAAACATCAAAGAACCAGACAAAACTACATATTAAGTTTTGAGACAGGATTTGAACTCATATAGAGTGGAAGCCATTCTAATGTGATTTGGTAGGTTATTATAAAGAGTGGGAGCAGGGGAACTGGAGGAGAAATTTGCCCTCCGATCTTAGTCCTCTCGCAGGACTGTAGGGATGGAGTTAGTTTGTCAAATAAGAAGGTGCTTGATTAATGATTTGTAGACAAGTAGCAAGATTTTAAACTTGGCTCTATAGTGAATCGGCAGCCAATGTAAAGAGCTCAAATGATCACATTTTTTACATCCCTTCAGAAATCTAGCTGCTGCATTTTGAACTACTTGTAGCCGAGAGATTTGGGTCTTTGACATGCTGTAATAGAGGAAGTTGCAATAATCCAGCCGAGATGTATGGAATTGAGAGGCTCAAGGTCAAGTTGATCACTTGCCCTGGAGTCTAAAGGGCCGAAGACAATAACTTCCGTTTTATCTGTGTTCAAAAAGAGAACATTTTTGGAAAACCATGATTTGACATCAAGACATGCTGATAGGGTATTAAGGGCACACTTATTTTTCCTAGTCACAGACAAGTAAAATTGCATATCATCGGTGTAACAGTGGAAGGAAATACCATGTTTCCTAAAAATAGACCCCAGAGGAAGTAGATCAAGAGAGAAAAGGGCAGGTACTAAAACAGAACCCTGAGGCACACCGCAGGTTTAATTGCCTAAAGATGAGATAAAGCTTCCTATTTTGATAGAACATCTTCTTTAGCTTCCACTCTCTGCACAAACGTTTGGATATGCGCCTAATAGCACACATTTTTAGGTTAAACGTTTAAACTAACATTGTGATATGCTTGAAGTGTTTTATATCTATAGATTTTAGAATTTTGGCAAGTCGTGATGATTTGAGAAATATAACCACTTTGTCATTAAAAACAAAACTGAACTATTTTAATGGCTGCAACAGCAGTTGTGTAATGGGGAAGCGAGAGAGAGAAAAAAGACACAGGCTCCAGTCGGACTTGGGCCGAGAATTCTGATAAGCTGTCGGACAAGGGCCGGGCTAGGGGCTAGGGCCTAGATTTGAGGCCCGTGCAGGGCTCTAGTGCACATAGTACAGCAGCACAATAACGTTATGTCAGGGTAATGTCTTTAAACTCCAATCAAGGAAATATCATACCTTATTATGTTGTCTTCTTCTTAAGTTTGTGAGTTGTAAATAATATAAAAGCATTTTGAGATTTGAGAAGTGGCCTGCATCTCCTGAGATGCTTTTAAGCCACCTGCATACATGGCATCCCCGTTGTTGAAAAAATGACAAAAAGCATCCTCTCTGTAAAACCACCATCCCCTTTAGATTAATAATTCTGTGTATTATGTAGGCCTAAAACTTATTGTGCAAATTAAATATTAATATTCTCTATGTATAATAATTTATAAACTAAATAACGGCGATTGGCCAATCAGAGCTCAGTATTAACGAGCTGCACGCGAGCTCACGCATGTTTTCATCATTTTTCGCACAAAATGTTTCAAGGGCAACTTCTGACATTCTTTAATGCACACTTTAATGTCATTTATACTACTGTAGTGCATATTGTGCAGTTTTACTGTAGCTGTGTTGATAAAATGTTGTTTCTGTATGACTGAATTTAAGGGCGACCTTTTCAGATTAGAGTAAGCTCATTTAGCCATGGTAAAGTCTCTGTTTATCACACTGTAAATGGCAAAATTATGGCTTGGACTTCATTTGACAGAACAGTTCTCTGACCTCTGCCTTATGCATAACATTTGATGAAACTGCATGTTTGATGAACTGTGTGGAGGTTAGTAATACTGTAAGCATTTTGAAGTCATAAGTGATTTTTAATATCAAGCATGCAGCAATGTTTCTTCACGTGTTTTGAGGAAAATCATCTTAAGGTGCAGTTGCTTGAGAACAACATACAAATATCTCCGTACAATTTTCACATAACGTAACTAAAATATTAGATCTAAGGTAAAATCTAAGCCAAATAATAAATAAATAACTTGGAAGTCTTGTCTTGTTCCACATCTGTCCATTTACTAAAAATTATTTTGTTGATAAATATTACTTATCTTTACACACATATAAGATACATGCATTGCATTGTAATAATATTTCTTCCAAATGCATTTAGTTAAAATAATCTCAGCATTCATGTTGAATGGACATAACTCCAAAATCCAGCAGAGGAATTTTAAAATGTTACATATTTATTATGCTACATATAAGCAGTTACAATTTGGTTATAATAAATAAATAAAATAATGGAAACACTACAAAACTAAACACCAATTAGAAATGCAACTACAAAAGTGAGTCACATGAAGTTTAGACACTTTGACATTTACAATCGTTTACACTTAGACACTTATTTTTTCCCCATATAACAATGGAAAAGTCATGTGAAAATGCAACTGTGATTTAATGAGACTGATTAAAGCACAATGGGTCTGAAAACTAACAACTGTGTTGTGGCTTTTCAAAATCCCAGGGGTAAAAGCTTGAGGCGTTTGGATCAGCGCCGAATAACATCTCAGCAACGCTCTGTTGAACAGAATCAGATGAACTTGAGGATACCATTTTACTGAGCTCAGAACAGAAATAGTCCATTTCAGTCAGGTCGGTGTTTTTCAGTACTTTTCCAGCACCATGTGTAGCCTCTTCAACTTGTTGGCTTACGTCAGACACAAATGATCCAACATCCATTGTATTAAAATCAAAAATGTTGTTTTTCATTGGGTCGAGCACTTCAGGGTTGGGAAAGCTCATTTCAGAGGTTCCCCACACCGAACCACAGTGAAATACTTGAGAAGAATCACTAGCATTTGACACTATTGAGCTAGGTTTGGATTCACGCGAAGCATCAGATCCTTCTCGGATTGGTTTAATGATTTTTTCTTCATTACTGTAAGCATAGCTCTCTTCATTAGATGGGCAAGAACCAAAGGGGTAACAATCACTGAGATGATCACTTAGCACGTCACATGACACGGATATCGGCTTCTCCTCCAGATTATTTAAATCTGTGTAAAGTGGTTGAGGACTTAAGAGTTGACGCTTTGTAATCATATAACCAGACTCACAGTTTTCCGTTTCCGAGTCAAATATCCCCGTATCGACTGATTCGGGGCTAAATGGATCAGGGACGTGGATTTCAGAGTTGCTCTGCTTTCTGGCTTCCAAACCTGGTCCTTGAAGATCAATGCTACATTTGGATTTGTCAGCAGGTTCTGGACTAAAAGGAGTAGGAGTACCAACTTCATGATAACCAGAATCTAGTCTTGGAGCTTCATGACAGAACGAGTTAACAGTGTTCATTTCTTCTAAGTCAGATACGCCTTCGACCGGCTCAGCAGGTATGGGACTAAATGGGTCAAAATACTGGAGTTCAAGTTTACTCATGACCAAGCTTTCAGAGGATGAAGGTTTGTGTTGTGAACTACTGGATTCAGGGCTGAGTTGCTCATGGGCATAAAACCGGTCAGTAGCTGATGTTTCTGTGTTACTGAACAGACAAAAGAGGTCTTGAGATGCAGAATTAGACAGATTGCTTTCTGTGTCCAGGATGGATGAATCAGGAACAGGTTCAACTACATCTGGATTTGCCGTCCATTGGTCATTCCACTCTGAATCAAGCACACTTTGGCAAGCATTTGAATCCTCAAATGTAAGACTTGGAATATCTAAAACCTCCTTTTCACAATCAGGCACTAATATCTCATCATGTTTAGGAGGGTCACTGCTTGTCACGATCTCCAGCTCCACTGTGTTCTGGTCATTGGTGATCTGGTTGTGTTGTTCTATGTCTTCAGGCTTTGGACTGGAACATTCAAATTCATCTTTATCATTGAATTCAGGGCTCAAAGAGGCGTCCTTCCAATGCATTTGGCCGTGGGACTCATCTTTGGGCTCAGGACAAGCCGGACTTTGATTATGTAGTTCAGGGCTACCAGGATCTAATCTCACAGTGAAGAAGAACATATCTCCATATTTGTAGTCGCATTCGTCTAAAGCAGAAGGTTGAGAAGGAGAAATGGAAGGAGAGCTAGAGGGATTACTATTTATATCATGCAGCTGTTCACACAGAGGACCTGGACTGTTATCTGGAGATAAACTCTCAGTATTTCCGAGTTCTTCGGCATTCGCAGCATTTTGTTCAGAAGTGGTAATATGATGTTCAAAGGTCTTCTGGAAGTCGCCTGAGAGTGGATCAGGGTCACATGGACTTAGAGGAAACCCAGTATAAGACCCTGCAATGATGCTCTGTAGACCACACAGTGAGTTAGCTCTTTTAATTAAACCAGATCCAGTCTGAACATCAACCCTGTCCTCCTCCTCTTCAGCGAATACATTGGAATCGGCATCAATGGAATTAAACACTGTAGAACTGTGACTAGAATCTGATTCATGGACCCACTCTTCATCGAACTGAGGACGCAAAGCTTCGTTTGATAGATCTGGTTTCACAGCATCACCATTTTGGCCTGGTGTGGCGTTTGTCCCACACTCAGAATCTACATCGCTGCCAGATTTGAGACTCCTGCTTTCAGTGGACATGGACACACCACTATCACGCTTTCCAGTGGACTGTGGCCTGTTGATGGGAGCGTTAAAGGTACCGTAGTCTTTAACGACGGATTGGAGAGGGTAGTGTACAGTTTCTGGAAGACTGTTCTCTGCAGGGATGAAGTCATCCTGACAATGCTTTTCTTCTGACATGTTAACCAAGAGAGCGTCAGAGGCAAAAGGGTCTGTGCCTTTAAACGGGTCCCTGGGTAATTGCTCTGAGAGAAAACAGCACCATATTAGTAACTGTCTTACAATGAATTGACTCCCTATTGTCCTCTGTATCTAGTGCATTTCTGTGTTGGGAATGGCTAACTAAAGGTAGCAGCGCTACAAACTTACAGTATACACATTTGTGACCCTGGACCACAAAAGCAGTTTTAAGTCGCTGGGGTATATTTGTAGCAATAGCCAAAAATACATTGTATGGGTCAAAATTATTGTTTTTCTTTTATGCCAAAAATCATTAGGACATTAAGTAAAGATCATGTTCCATGAAGATATTTTGTAAATCCCCTACTGTAAATATATCAAAACTTAATTTTTGATTAGTAATATGCATGGCTAAGAACGTCATTTGGACAACTTTAAAGGCGATTTTCTCAATATTTTGATTTTTTTGCACCCTCAGATTCCAGATTTTCAAATAGTTGTATCTCGGCCAAATATTGTCTGATCCTAACAAACCATACATCAATGGAAAGCTTATTTATTCATCTTTGAGATGGTGTATAGATCTCAATTTAAAAAAATGTACCCTTATGACTGGTTTTGTGGTCCAGGTTCACATTTATCAGCAACTAAGTTCTTTCAAATCAGTGTAACTTTTCCAGTAACAAGCCATATTTTTCGAGAAGTAGCTGTCTAGTGTGATTTTTTTTAATGTTGAATTGTATTACCATGCAGTTCTACAGCCGAACAAACTGAGGTAATGATCAAACATGCTCTCATGCAGATATGAGATGTGTAGACTTTGGGATGGTTGACCCAAAAATGAAAACTGGCCGTTTACTCACCCTCAGGCCATGCAAAAGATGTAGATTTCATTCTTCAGCAAAACAGTAAAGAAGATTTTTAGCCGAAACCGTGGTCCTTTGTGATTCATAAAATGCAACTCAATGGCCTGATGTGCTTTTTTTTTACTCTGAAAGTGACTGTATCAATTTTAGAGTAAAAAAAAAAGCAAATCAGGCAACACAAAATACTCGTGGCACCTGACAATATATTAAGGTCTTATGAAGCAAAATGATCAGTCTGTGCAAGAGACAGGACATTATTTACAACATTATTATCTGTAATCCAGAGGCTCAAACAAATGGTCCAGTTCGGGAATGAATCTGAAACACTTTGTGGCTCGAGCAGCACAGATCTACAAGTTATTCAATCAAAACTCACTTTCAGATGCCTGACAGTCACTCCAACTGGAAATTAGCCAAAATACCAGCATATAAACAGTTCAATAAACAGTTTAGACTCCAACTGAAGAACTGATATGTACATGCTTCATAAAACCTCAATATATCAAGCACCACAGGTATTAATTTTGTACTGCCTGATATGCTTCTTTTTTTTTACACTCCAAATGCTTGTAGCCACTGACTTGCATTTTATGAATCACCAATGACCACAGTATCAGCTAAAAATCTTCTTTACTGTTCTACTGAAGAAAAAATCACCTACATCTTGGATGGCCTGAGGATAAGTAAATTAACAGCAAATTTTCATTTTTAGGTGAACTTTCCCTTTAATCTGGGGTCATTATAAACCACAGGTTAACATAATCCTGGGTTATTTTTGATTAACAATGTTCAAACTTTTCCCTTGGTTAGAAACTAATCTTGGGTATTCAGGTTTCAAAATTCCACGCGGTAAACCCCGGGTTTTTATTTGCATATTTGCGATATTGGACAAACACACCATGCAACCTGTTCTAGTTTAATGTTCATTTAATGTTCAAGACTGTTTATACACCATTACAGGCTAAATAAGGTAAGGTTTTAAACAGAAAGTTACCAACCTGTCACATCAACCTTTGGAAAATGGTCATCTCCAAATACATCACCTGGAAATTAGTGAAAAAATAAGTTGTGAGTCACATGTAAATGTACAATCCAAACACAATCATGCCATAAGTCACTCACCATCAGTGAAGGGGTTTGGATGGAAGAAGTCAAACTGTCTGTTTGTCGCCTGACTAGGTTGAATGATCTCAAAGTCTTCCTTCTCCATGTCAGAAGAGTCAGACTGTTTGAAGAAAGAAAAAATAAGCAATTGAGTGCACAGTGTTTGTTTCATTATGCAGCGTTGAGTTTCCTACAATGGGAACACATCAGTGCTCAGGAGGTCTGAAACCCAGTGTGTGAATGCAGACTGCAGTTTGATCAAATTAAAGGTGCAGTATGTAATATTGGCAACTAGATGCTGAAATTGGTACTGCAGTCCGAATTAACCATATTGGAGAGAGATGTTTCTCCTGCCCTTCCTCCTTAGACTCGGCGGGTTGCCAGATGCAACAAGGAAAGAGTGCAGCTGACAATGGAAGGCAATGAGTTGATTTATCCACTTTTAATATGGCTCTGGTCATAGAGCTTTTTAGATGAATGCCGAAGCTTTTTAGGTCGGGTATAATCTGTAATCACTGACCCAGTTCATTTGCTGGCTTCCATGGTCTTCTGCTAACTGGCAACCCGGGGTGTTGAAATACTATTGGGTAAACTGGCAGTGGGCGGAGTCACATGGACCAAAACAAAAACAGACATGCTGACACGGAACACATTTCAAAGTAGAATAACTGTTTTTTTTTTTTTTGTAGAAACCAGTATGTGAACTTAGCATGTTTCCTAAATAACTGCAAACATAATATGGTATTTTACAGTCAAGAATATATGGTATTTTATGCTTTAGTGCAGTCAAAAAAGTACATTCAGCAACAAGCAATGCACTTTTTAGGCAATCAGCAGAGCTGAATATGAATAAGCACTCTGAAAGAGTTAGCTGTAAGTAAAAATTACTGAACACATCCTACAACGATGCAAAACAACATGTAACACGGTGCAAGTGTGTCCGACCTGTGGAGTGGTTGATCTGAACATAACATCCTCCTCTTTGACCTCTGTCAGTGTGATCTCAGTGAAAGATGACGAGCCACTGCTCTTCTGTAATCAGTAACACATCGTGAGTTCAACAAACTAGTAACAAATTACATGCATTACATGTAAATGTTAATGGACATACCAAGTTCTCCATTGAACACTGCATTTTATCAAGCTCCTCTACAGTGCTCTCCTGCTCAACGTCATTCACGTCCTCTCCTTCCGCTTTGGACATGATCTTCTCACTGAGGACATGATCACACTCACTTTCGACAACATCCACATGTCCTTCCAACTCCTGGCTCAAAACGACACAATGAGCTGCTTCTGTCATCTCAGCCACTGAACTTTCACCAGTTATAAGGCCAGCAACCAGCTCAGCCAGGTTCTTTTTAACCTGGTCAAAAAAGGAAATAAAAATTAACAAATAAAATAAAAACCATCACATTACATTTACACGGCGTAAGCAAGTTTGCAGATTGCACATGGAGAATCATGAGCAATATCAATGAATCAACCACAAGTGGCCCAATAGAGGTTGCTTGACCATTTTTAGTTTTCCCATGATTACCTTGAAGTATTTGTATTGCAAATCCGCTAGTTTTGTACTTTATTTTACTTTTTTCACCATGGCGGTCTCTCGTGTCATGGAATACAAATTTTGGAACAAAAACTGACCTGGGTAAACATAGCATGCATTTTTTATTAGACATCTCTTATTTTTTAGGATGAGAACGCACGTAATTTTTTCAAATTCCCATAATTTTGAGTTGATTATCTCTGGTGGGGGACCAGATAGGAAACTGTGATTTTTATAGATGCAAATCCCATATGGCAACAATTTGCTATGAAAATTTGAGTTTGAGCTTTCACTGTAACTGTATTTTGTTCCGGCGTAATAATCAAGGAACTTTGCTGCTGTACCATGGGTGCAGCAGGCACAATGATATTATGCAGCGCCTGAAAATAGTCCCCAGCACGCTCCCTGTGCAAGCAGGTGGTCACGTTGGATAGTTCCTAGCCATATCAGCCTAGAAAATCGCCACTTTTCATTTTCCGTCGGTCTTAGTACACGATGTAACTACAGAAGAGTCAAGTTTTAAATAGGAAAAATATCGAAACTCTTTGGTCATTTTTGAGCAAGATGCTAACGGTCTAATCAGATTCAATGATCTATGCTAAGCTACAGCTAAAAGTGCTACCGCCAGACCCGGAGATCGGCTGAATGGATTCGAAAACGGTAAAACTCAACTGTTTAACTCTAGGGGAGTTGGAAAATGAGCCTATTTTCAAAAATAGTGGAGTGTTCCTTTAAACAACACGTTTTTAATAACATCTTACAATAGCAAACTAGTTGTCGCTATCCAAATTGGCATCAAGAATCGTGACCTTTTCACTGGTATTAAAAATAAACTACTGAAATGTTGGTATCGTGACACTTTATGCACATATTTTGTTTTTGTACATGTTTTTTTAACGGATTTCCGTGGATTCTAAAAACTATGCTTTCATTCTTGATCCACAGGGATTGTAGTATAGCTAGACTTTTTATAAAACTAAACGAAAAGCTAAAACTAAATTTAGACTGTATACATTTAAACTGTATACCAAACTAGAATTTCAATTCATATATTCATTAATTATGGAAAGTTAGTATTTTTGATATGCCATCTAAAACCACTTATAACCTTTTTTTTTTTTTTTTTTTTTACAAATTGGTTTCAGCTATTTTAATTGGATAATAAAATAAAAAGAAACATTTGACAATAGCCCTTAACTCAAACCCTATCCCTAAAATATAATAAGTCCCTAAAAATAATGGTGCACTGCAAATTCAAACAAGAGAACCAATCAAAAGCATCGCTTTACTAAACAGTCTTTAAATGGCAGGAGGCTTGGTGCACATCAAAAAAAAAACAGGCAAAGCAACCAACTAATATTAACATTATTTAACATATCCTAGGTTTTTACAGATGTAACCTCCTTGGTAACCGTTAACATTTTCATAAGTAACTGTAATTTAATTACACTTTTTTCTCAGTAACTGTAACGGATTACAGTTACTATGTAATTAAATTACGTAGCACAGTTACATGCAACTAGTTACTCCCCCAAACTGATTAGAAGTCAATGGAATGTTTACACTTTTTAATTTAAAGCTTTCACCTCCTCACAGGATCAGAAATATTACAAAACATTTTGGGTGAACTGGTAGAGAGACAGACAAGGGTGACCGAACTGTGACCTGTATAATCTCCTCGAATAAGTCCTGCAGCGGAGTGACGCGTAGATGCAGGCTTTCTGCGTGTGCTTTGGCGTAAGCCACTTCCCGCTGGAGCTGCAGGAGATCTTCAGCCGCGGCACACAGCTCCACATCATACTGCTGGACTGTCTGCTCCAGCTCCTGTTGCTCCTCCTGCAGCGACTGCAGCTGCACACAAACACACACACAGATGGCATCACCCAAATATTATACTATATGCTGTCTGCACCCTGGTGCACATAATGAGATAAATCATTTATACCCCAAATATGATGCAATTAGTGGCAGATTGTATTTGCATCCTAACATACAGTAAAAGGCCATGCAATATGTTTATTATGTTTGATTTGTTCTTAATTATAAAGCACTATTATAACATAATGCAATGTTTATTTTACTCTAATTTACTCTAAACTCAAATTTATTTTATTCTCATCTCACATCGATCATCTGCATTTAAACATTTTTTTAAATTTATTTTTCATTTTCTATATAATGAATTTCTATAATAAAAATAAACAACAAATGTAGATTTAAAATGGTCAAACAAACTCATCCATCCATATTACCTTTGCAAGCACAGATTGTTTTAAGTTCAGTCAGTCTTTCTATTTTTTATTTACAGTATATATAGCATCAAACAACCAATATATGGTAATTCTTGTTTACAGAAACAAACTACTTAAAGACTACATATTAAAAGATAAGATTAAAAATTGTTGCATAACCACCCAGTAGGAGGCAATACGCACTAATAAACAAAATTAAACAGTTAAACCATTAAACAAAAGAAGAAGAAGGAAGTATGGTGCACATGGTGACTCTTGGCGTGCTTCTCAAACAGAAGGCTGCATATCTCGGCTGCCGCATAATCAAATGTCGCTGAAGGCCGTCTCATTTCACATCCTTCATTCAGCTGAATTTGAAGGATGCATGGGATGTATCCTTCGCGACCTTCAGTCACCCACAATCCTTTATACACATTCCAATTCACGAAAATAAACTGGCAAAAAAACGAGTCAGTACTGAGTTTTAGTTTGAAACGTAAGACAAAATATTGTTTTCAGACACGAAAGCATAAATGTTATCTTTTTTTTGTGTGTAAATTACTCACGTAAACCAATAATGTAAGCCACTGGGAGACTGGAGAGGGCTGCGATTCATTGCATTGCATTAATAGAAAGCCAAATAATATTAAGATTTATAATCCAAAGTATTTTTCCAAAATTATGTTTTATTAGTATTTTTGTGTCTTGACGGTGAGGGCGGGAACATTTGTGACTTAGCACACGCACTTACTAGACCGTCTCATTCTAGCTTTTAATACCCAGGAGGACTCTAACCTATAAGTCTCCTAGGTAGGACGCAGCTTCAGTAGAATGCAGCCTTCCATTTGAGAAGCACTCTTGGATTCTGCGTTCTGTCGAGAATGTCTTTGTGAAGATCCACCAACATTCAAAGCAGTGAGAGCTTCTTTTAACTGTCTGCCAGCACTTATAAAAGCTGTGCCATTATCTGACCTTTTGTGAGCCACTTTAAGATTCTTATTTGGATTTTGTTTAGTTTTTTCAGACAGTGTGTAGAGCGTGGACTGGTAGCAAATTGGGAATCAGAGCTGGGATTTGAACTCGATACTCTGTGCACAGCATTGATGCATGAGTCTGAATCCAGTAAGCTGTTTCCAAGTGCACTGCTCAGCTTGCCGTTTAAGTGAAAATCACTCTGGAGCATCTAACTTCCCTTTGTAGTGTCTACTGACAAAACACTTGGATATGATATTTCTTGCAACTGAGGTAACATCTGTAACATCTGTGTTGTGACAAAGCTTAGAGGGCATCTGATGTCTACCACCAAATGTTCATGAATGCCTCGAAGTATAAGATGAATTGTTTAGTCTCAGCAGGCATTGCTGACTTATTAATTCTTCCTTCTACTCTTAGCACACCATTGTCTAATACAATATCCAATTTGTAGACAATACTATCCTTTCTGACTCCACAACTTCCATCTCTAAACACAACTATTACCTCTTGGAACTGTTGATTTAAAGAAATGATGGCAATCTGAGCCTTAGACAGATCCTCTGCAATCCAATATGGTTCTTCCATATATGGTTCACTTTCAGAAAAAAAGGTACAAAAGTTGCAGTACTGGGGCAGTACCTTTTCAAAAGGTACACTTTTGTACATTTTAAGTACTAATATGTACATTTGAGTTACTAATATGTCCCTTTAATGTACCAATATGGACTCTTTAGGTACAAAGGTGTGCCTTTTGAAAAGGTACCGCAGCAGTGACAACTTTTGTACCTTTTTTTTTGAGAGTGTTGGTTGTTCCTCCAGGGAAGCTTTAAACTCCTTTAGTTTTGCATCTACTGTAGATACACCATGTTGTTAGTCCGTTCAAAAACCAGTAAGTCTCCTTTCTTCTACAACTCCATCAATAATGTCTTAAAGGTCCCATGACATGCTGCTTTTTAGATGCTTTTAATAGGCCTAAGTGGTCCCTAGTACTGTATCTGAAGTCTCTTTCCCGAAATTCAGCCTTGGTGCAGAATTTCAGCCACTACGAGCCAGTCCCACAATGAGCTTTCCTTAGGACGTGCCATTTCTGT